TGGGGTGAGGGGCAAAGGGAGAAACAGGCTCTCCACTGAGCAGGGAGCCCGATGGTGGCTCGATCCCAGGACTGAGCCACCCAGGCACCCCAAATCTGTAGGATTTTAAAGCCAGTTTTCTGGGGCACCTGGGGGGAGCTCAGTCAGTTGCGCATCTACCTTTGGCTCAGGTCATGATCCCGGAGTCCCAGGATCCAGCCCCACATCAGGTTCCCTGTTCAGCAGGGAGTCTGCTTCTCCCTCTCCTTCTGCCCCTCCACCTGTTCCTTCTCTCTCTCTCTCTCAAATAAATAAAATCTTTTTAAAAAGCCAGTTTTCTGCCATTTCTCTATGTGCTTTATGTGTCTTGGCCCAGAATGTCACGCTTGTCGCTGTGTTCAACCTTCTGAGTTTCTTCACATGGGCTAAGGGTCCTTAACACCAGCGAGCATTTAGCCCATATCCCTTAAAAGGAATGGATGGGCTTTTAGGGACCTGTTATTAAGTTAAATGAGAGCTTGGGTTATTTAAACAAAGTATTTTTGCTTCTATCACCAGCTAAGATATCGGAAGGAGACATGCAAAGACTGGGAAAGACAGTAAGAATCTGGTTTTCCAACATAAGTGGAGCCCCCTCTCTCCATATCCTCTCCAATCCCAAGAGAACAGAGCACAGACAATCAAAATCTTTTTTGTCTTTCTCTTGTGGCTCTCAAGTGACATCTTGCAGGAAAGGCTGGTTGCCTTCAATAGGAACACTAATGGTGCCTGGTGAACTCACTAAGTTTTGCTTATTTTGACAGGGTGTGCGTGGAGAATCCGGTGAACGGGGTTACCACGGAGAGCTTGGATACCCTGGCTCACAGGTTGTATCAGTGAACTTGTTTTTAGTGCTAAAGTTATTTGTTTGAAATTATCACTTAGATTCTTGGGTAGGGATTTAACATATATCAGAATGGCCTTGGATATCTCTTTTCTGGGCCTTCCAAAGCAAATTGTATAGTTTCTCTCCTGGGCAGGTTAAACTCCAATAGCTAATATTTACTGAGTTCTTATTATGTCTTAAATATGGTCCTAAACACTTGTATTAACCTATTTAATCCTTCAATGGAGGGTTATTATCCCTATTTTACAGAGATAAATGGAGGGGGGATGGAGAAGTTAGGTAAATTGGCCAATCTCACACAACTAGTGAATGATAAAGGTGGGATTCAAACTCAGGCAGGTTAGCTATAAAATCTATGCTCTTAATTACTGCCTCTGAAGCTGTGTATTCAAAGTACTCAAATTTGGCATGAAAAATCAGCAAAGTGTTTATTGAGTATCTGTTATACATAGAGCAATTTGCTAACAGGCATGGGATGTTCAGAACATTAAGGCAAGGAAGGGTCTTGCCCTCAAGTGGGGTGTTGTAAACTATTCAGTGATAACTGGAAATGTGAACTTCCAACCAGTTCTTTTGGAGTCTTCTAAGCATAACCCAAATCTGTCATTCTGTAAATCCTTCTGGAACATGTCCTACATCTTTCTTTTAAAGGCCAAATTGTTCCCAAGTATCAAATGGAAGAACTTCAAAACAACATCTCTTGCTAACACATTGAACCATTCTCCATAACTTTAAAAATTCTATGAGTGTCAGGCAATAATTTTGAAAGGTTTCTGTTGTTTTTTGACTTGACGAAGGTACAAAAGAACAAAATGGGTGATCAAAGTGTAATTAGAGATTGTATTTATTTTATGATAGAAAATAGTGTCTGAACATAGAGGGAAACAACTGAGAGATGGATTTTGCCTTTCTTTTGATCACTGGCTTAATTCAAATTTGGACCCCCCACCACTGTGGCATCCTGGCTTTCTCTTTTATATTCACTTTATCATACTGCTGAGTCAAAGGGAACAAGCTGTGTTGTGAACCATGAGCAAGATAATCAATAAAACCTCTACTTAATTTCACTTCCCACTGGGATGTGGGGATAATGTTCTATTTAAATAGGTGTTTACAATGCCTCACGCAGGAGTATAGAATCCACGATCCATGCTTCTAATAGGAAAGCATTTCTCAGAAAAGCTGGAGAAAGATTAGTGTTGAAATCAGTAAAGTTAAATGGATTGGGGAGAAAATGGTACCTCCCCAGCAATGTGCCCGGTGAGGTTAGGCTATTGTACTATTGAGGACAGGCCTGTTGGTTCTTGATAAAATCAAAATGTGCCCTCTGGTCCTCAGCCCTTGTATCTATAAAGCAAAGGTTGAATTTCCAAAGGAGATCAGTATCTTAACAGCCCCTATCATTCCCCTTTCAGGATTTAAAATTAGTTGGGCATATGAAAATATAAAAGCAATGTTCTGAAATTTTAGGGCTCATCAGATTCAACTGCAGAGGTGGTTACAGGTATAGGTGCTGAAGGCTCACAGCCAGTGCTTGCCATGGAGTGAGCCTGGGGTGCTCCCTTTCAGATGCTGCTGAGTAGTGTGTGATAAACATGATAGCAGTGGGTCAGGGCACCCTGATTTATGCTCCCATCATTGACCAAGGTGACTTTGTGGTTACGTGGGAAATAAATAGCTCCATAAACATTGGTTGAACTTTAATTTCATCTTTGGACTAGGGACTGAGAGGAAGGCAAGGACCACCAGGAAATTCTGGACAAAGAGGCTTACCGGGTGCTGAGGTAGGTTGGAAAAACTAAAAGCTATAGTAGAGCTGCTCATTAACAATGGCCTGAGTGTTCTGGACTAATAACATAAAGCTACACTGTTTGCTCTGGGATTGGTGGGTATCAGGGGTTTCTAGCAATAGCTAATTTGATCACTGGGTGTACCCCCTTCTACTGTAGGTGCATTGTGGGAATATAGTGATCGATGAGATTGGGTCGGAGCCCCAAGGGTGTTTAACACAAGCTGATGGTGGCTTACCTATAGTGCGAGAAAAAACAGAACTATAAAAGGGGTATACAATACTAATTTACTGCTCATAAACATAAAAGGAAGCATTACCATCCCAATTTTATAGATGAGGAGACCGAGGCTCAAAGGGTTTAAAAATGATTTGTCATCTGGATAGGAAGTGGCCAAACTGGCTCCCAGCTTGGTTCCTTCTGGTGCCCCTTCTACTCCTGACCCAGGATCCCAGTGGTTCATAGAAGGGTCAGATCTCATTGAGACAGATGATCAGGAGTGGCCTCCTAATGATGGGAGCATCTGATATAGCTTAAAGCCTGAGCAGCGTGATTTAAGTTAGGGATAAGCATCTCGATCTGGAGATTCATAATAGCAGCTCCAGGATGGCCTATGTCCTAGTTCTGTTCTTACTCTCCCTATCAGGAAGAGTCTAACGCCCTATAAACCGACTGTATTGCTTTCATTTTCATTTGATAATATTTTCTGTTTGGAGTGGGTGAAAGTCCAGGTGTTTGTCTTCTCGATCTCCTAGTCAAATGGTGTTTTTCCCCCTAGTAGCCAGATCATTGCTCCAGTGCTCAGTACTTGGCAGATGTGGCCTCTCGCACAGAATGCCTCCCTCTTCCTCCCCACTCCCTCGCCGCCCTCCCCAGCCCAGAGGTTAAATGTGCATAGGAAGCATTTTGTCTGTTGAAAGATACAGTTAATTGTATAAAACATTAAAGGTGATTTGTGAGTATATTACCAGTTCCAGACCATTTCAATAATAACAAGAGTCAGATAGTTAACTCTGTGGCCCTCGAGGTGATTTTAGTCCTGATCTTATTGCAGGGGGTTCCTGGGCCTCCAGGGCCAATTGGTTCCAAAGGAAAAGCTGGACCAACAGGAATGAAGGTGAATGTCAGAGAACACATCTCATTTGATTGCAGCTTGGGTTTTCTTATATGAATCTCTCCTTATGTGATTGTTTCCAGCAGGAGTTTCTGATATGGTTGGTGGTGGTATTGACTGGCCATTACCTTATAAGTGGATGGATGGATACAGAGAAAGAAAGACATATAGACTGACATATAGAAAATGGATGGATAGATGACCACCTATATCAGTAGGCAAAGACATATCAATAAAAAGATAAATATATGAATTCAGTACAAATAAAGCTCACATTCACACCTAGAAAAGCCAGAATAATATGAAATTCTGTTCCTGGTGCTTCATACCTGGTTTTGCTAATTTTCAGTGCCAAAATCTCTACTATATTTGTTATTATCTGTATGTAACAAGGTCCAGAGGAAGATACTTACCTTGGACTATATGGGGATGCCAATAGGACCTGAAAAGCGTGACTGTAGAATCTCTAAGGAAAATGACATAAGATTGCATGAACTCATAGGAGAAAATTAACTTCATGTTTACCATTTATTGCAAAAGGGGGAAGTTGGTGATGCAGGAGCCACAGGCCCGCAGGGTCCACAAGGACTAAGAGGGCAACCTGTAAGTCTACTGTCTCTGTTTTGGACTCTGGATTCAATGTCTTGTTTCACACCAAATTCTAACATTCTTTTTTTTTTTTTAAGATTTTTTTTTTTTTTTTT